ATATAAATATATATATATATAATATAATAGAAGAAATTTAATTAAAAATATACTAATTAAATTTTTTTTACAAAATTATATTTTTAATAATAGAGACTAAAATTAGATAATTATAATTATTTAATTAATATTTTACAAAATAAAATTACACAATTTTAATACTCAATTAAGATTTCAGAAATTAAAATTATACAATTATGTAGATGGATAAACTATTTGATAAATATTTTTTTTTCACTAAATACTTAAAGACAATGGCTGTAATAGAAAAAGAAAAAATATCGTCAATCCAATCATATAATTCTCTTGAAAGAATTATCACTCCCGACCAAGGAACACATTCTCAAGTTCAGGTCACTTGGTTACGATATTGTGTGTGATTCATGAAATCAAAGGTGGACCACCTCCCAACATAAGAGATAGATATCATATGTATTTGATAAATCCGATAACCTGGTTTTGTCTTTGATTTCTTCAAGTTGCAAAGAAAACGGTGGATTTGTATCTGTCATCCATACATAGTATACTAATCTACGGATCTCATAGTCAAAATCAGTCTACTGCATGAAGTTGAAGATGTCAGATAAATTTTCAACGACGGTGTGATTTGTTTGGTGAGGAACTCATCCTCCAGAAAGAGCTAGGTTGCAGTGATCTTGGAACTGATCTTGGAACTGAAGGGGTAAAATTGCTGGTGTTGGTGGAATTATTATAAAAATAAAAAAATAAATAAAAAAGTTGTTATCACCTATAATTTCATGTTAAATCCCTAAATCTACTCCCAAATATACTGTTCATTGTGGAATTGGCACCAGATATAATGAGTAAAGGGGAGAAAACATTTATTTAAAAACTAATTTTTACATAAAAATTTTAAAAGAAAATTATTCTTCAATCTAGAGTGTTAATTTATTTTATAATAAATTTAATGGTATAAAATCATCGCTCACAGGTAAACTGATTTAATGGTTCACCGCCATAAATTTTTATATATTTGAGTTTATTTATTTTTAATATTATGAATTAAATAAATGATTGGGATATGTTGTAATGTTTTTATATATTTTTAATAATGAATTAAATAAATTTTTATATATTTTTAATGTTTTGTTCTAACTTGTGCACACTTTATGCTTAGATGAACGGTTTAATAAAATTATTTAACTTATAAAAGAATCGCTATCACCATAATCTCACATGGTAGATTTAAAACATAGTTAAGTTTAAAATAAATATTAAAAGTGAGATTTTTTTTAAAATTAATAATAATATTTTTTAATAAAAAAATAAATATGTTTTAAATATAAGTGTTAAAAATAATTATATTTGTATATTTTTTAAAGATAGACCTTTTAAATAAACTTTTAAGGATAAAAAAATGAATTTTAAATTATAAACCATGAAAAAATTATAAATATTAATATAAAATATTTTTTAAGAGGTGAAAGCAAAAATTCTAAACCTTAAACTTTATTAGTTTCATGCTTGGACCACCATGTAATCACATAAAAGATAAGGTCAATACTAGAATTTTAAAAATATTAAGAAATAGGACAAAAAAAAATTAAAACTTTTGAATAAAGTCATTCTAGAAAGAATGTATTCAGTAAAATTAGTTTACTAGCTAATTAAAAATCATAAGCTATAAAATATAATATGGAAAATTATAAATTTATAAGTTACTTATAATATCAAAAGTATTTGATAAGATTAATTGATAAATGTAAAATGACATAAAATAATTTTTATAATAGTGAAATAATAATAAAATAGGCAAAATAATTTATAAATTAAAAAAATATTAAAAAAATCAAGTAAATTAATGAAGATAAAAAAGGAGAAATATAAACAAGTTTATAAAAATAAACTATAAGTTAATAAAATAAATTTATATAAACTCTCGTATTTAATAAATTTATTTTAATCAAATTAACTTATAATATCAAATAAAATTTTTTAAATGTCTTGTTAAACAGGCATTTTAATCTTTATACAAGAAATTTTTTATTTGATATTATAAGTTAGATCGGCCTTAAAAACACCATGATACAATTTGAAAACTAAACTATAGCCAATGAGTCAGATCCCATATAATTCCAAGACAGTTTGGGCTGGGCCCATGATATGACGTATTCGGCATTAATCTCATGGGCCATGGTCAAGGTAGGTATGAATGGAAATGAAAATGACATTCGTGCGCGTGTACTTGTGTTTAGAGGTGTTTTTAAGTGGAGATTTTAGCAGGATTTGGTTTAAATTTTGAATGAAAAAACACCTGAACTAAATATAAAAGTATGTAACTTATTTTCAATGCAACATTGACTTTTTATTTTGCAATTTGGTGTTCGATTTGATTTAGTGCTTTTATTTTTCAACTTATTAATCTAATGTAGGATTTAATAATTAAAATTTATATAATTATTATGATATATCTTTATTTAAATTTTATTTAAAATTTTTATTATTGAGACATTTAGTACATGAATTTTTTTTACTTTTTCAAGAATTTGACGTAAAAAATATTAGTTTTTCCAAAATAAATTCTCCAACATATTCAAATTCACTTGTATAATTACAACAAAACAAAATATCAAAAGAAAAAAGAGTGAAAAGTATTTCACTCTATCTACCAATGTAAGTGTAAGAAATGTCTGGGTAGTCACATACATGCATAACAATATCATGTAAAACAATAACAAACATCATTAATCACATTTACAATTCTCAATAATTAAGGCAATACAAAACAACATATTATATTCACATGATGTAACAAGACTTATACCACACATATGAATATCCATCCAATTCATAATTAAAAAACAATTAGTATGTTATTATCATGCAATAGACAAGACTCTCCTAAACTTATATCAGGAAATATGGAAGAAATTTGTGCCATAACTTTACAAAAAACACTACATTTCTTTCATTGAGCATTGAACCTTGGTGTTTAAGGATTGAAGGTTTTGACTTTTGACCATGTTTTTTTACCATTGCTCAACTAACAATAGTTATTTTCTTTTCAATTTTTTTTATAATATTACAACCTAAAGTGTATTTAAAATTATTGTGTTTTTTTACTAATGATATTTACTTAAGTCACATTTATTTTTTCAATTCAACTTAACTATTTTTTTTTTCTTGTAACTTGTAACACGTATGAGATGATCCTTTTCAAGTTAATTTAAAATCAAACCTAACTTGATTTCTTATGAATTCACGTTAGTTTATTGCTTAATAAATTACATTATAAAAAATATATATCTAATTATCATTGGTTTTGAGGTGAAGCTTTGGTGTATCAATAAGATTGCTGCCTTATATGACTTGAAGATCATGGGTTCAATAACAGAAACAATCTCTTCACTTGAAAGGGTAAGACTGAGTGTATCTACTCTTCCTTGACTCCAGTAGGTAGGAAACCCATGCAATTGGTCACCGTTTTGGAGTGTTGTTTAGCGTTTGAAAAGTGCTAAATGGACAATCACACGTTCTAATGCACAAAATGTAGAAGTAAACCTTTTGTCTCATTGGACTGAACATAGGTTACATTAAACATAACTCTTTCACAAACGCACCCTTAATCATCATTAGTTTGACCACAGCTCATTTACATTTGAATTAGGAACTAGTGCCTCATGATTACAATGACCAGTTCAGTTTAGTTTTGATAACATTGCCATAGAAGCCCTTCCCCTTCCCCTAATTCATATCCCAACAATAAATTTATACTTGTTAGGTAAGAGAAAAAAAGAAAAGAAAAAGATGATAACTGTCACGACCTACGTATCATGACTACATCTTTTAAGAAAATATTGCAATAAAAAAATTATAGAAAACAAATGGCACCTTCTTATGGTATGCTATGCAGTGACAGAGCCCTTTATTTTATTTGAGTTAGAAAGACTACCGTTAGCAATGAAAAAAAGTAATTGTATAATTCTGTGCGCATATGATATCCTTAGCCATCAATTTTTTTATTTATAAAAAAAGTGCTTTCTAGGCTTAACCCTTCATACTCAACCGTCTTTTTGGGATTGTAATATTCAAAGGTTTATCTCTAGCTTTTAGATGCTTCAGATGAGCACAAATACACACAAAGGAAGGAGACAAATCAAACATAAAGCAGAGTATTTAAACGCAATCAAAAAAGGCATCAACAAACTTGTATTCATTTTTACTATTCATGAAGCAAGAGTGCTTACCAGGTACACCCCAAAGAATCTTGTAAGTTGGCTTCAAATTCACTTCATCAAACTCCATACATGCATTTTCGAAGGCCTCATTACTGCTCATGAATAAATCGCAGAAATGTTAAAGCAAAACTAGAGGCTAAAGTTTAATACTTTTCGTGAAAACATACAAGTGAAAAGGATAATATATTTTACTATTTTAAATGTTTTAAAGGAAAATATACATAGAAAACAAACATCAGAACAACAGATTTAATTTAGTATTGATCCATTTGTACAAAAGTTTCAAATTATCAGAGAACTATAATGGTGCCACTTGTTTAAAAACAAATAAAAACTTTTATTACTAGTGACCTTAGTAACTTTAATGATGCGAAATTTCTTATTTGTTGATAGTATAAAAGTTGCAGTGACAATTGATCAAATTTAAATAACAATAATAATAATAATAACAACAACAATAACGATTATTATTATTATTATTATTATTACTACTACTATTATTATTATTATTATTATAGTTTTAGAGAAAATAATTTATTTCTCACTGTTCTAAAAAAATAACAGTACTTACTACATAGGGTATTTATGCAGAACTGAATGACTAGTTCAGCCACAAAAATGGAAATAAACTGGAAAACAGATCTCATTAAATAAGGAAATAAATGCACAAAGGTATAAAACTTTCTAAACATATCTGAATTGATGTGATTCATATTTATTTCTCCTAAAATAGCTCCTACAAATCTGGACAGATTCCTCTACCAAATTCAACATCCTCCCTCGAGTTGGGCATGAGCTGGTGCATATATATATATATATATATATGTATATATATATATATGTATTTTTGTGTGTGTCATGACCAACTTGCTCATAAGAAGTATATACTTCATTTGAGAACCCCTTTGGTGAGGATATCAATCACTTGCTGTGCAGTGGGAACAAATGGCATACAAAAAACTCCATCAATCTTGTTTTAGATAAAGTGTCTATCAATTTCCACATGTTTAGTATGCTCATGTTGTACTAGATTTTGTGGTATACTTATGCCTTATTGTCACAACAATTATAGTTTCAACGGTAGACCAACAGGGATTCCCAACTCAAGAATTCTTTTAAGCCATAACATTTTGCAAACTCCTTGAACCATAGCTCTATTTTCGACTTCAACACTATTCCTTGCCACAACATTTTGTTTTTGCTAAGCAATGTTACTAAGTTACCTCTAAACAAATGATGTAGACCTCTTATCCTTGAGTGATCTTGCAATATCAACGTAGGTCTCCATGGTCTATATTTACATTATTACTATATTTTCATTATTTCCAACATATACTAACAGAAAACACCTAATCCTAATTAAAAAAGGACAGAGATCAGAAAATATAAAAGAAATATGGAAACTATTCTTTAAAAAAAATATAACTCAATATTGGGAGATAGTATGGAAACCGTATGGGTTATGGGGGATGGAGTACCTAATGTAGTGTAAGCTATCAAACAACTATTGGCAGTTAGTTTCACAATATATATTTGAAATTTTATTAAACATTACCAACAATAAATAGCTATTTGACAACTCGGCTTAGGTATTTGTACCCTTAAAAAAATGGGTTCATGGTAGTTAGACTATAAATGAATCTTTCTAATAGTTTTCAAATCAATTGCTTAATATTTTTTTTTCTTTTGTTTATCTTTTCTTCTATTTTACAAGAGAATATATTGTAACCAAGTACATCCAAAATCAAAGTTTTGTCTTCATCTGTATTGACTACCTATATTTTAGGGTTTTCAATTCACCATGATGAGTTGTAGCCATAGTCAACAAACAACTGTCTTGAGCAAAAGATTCCAATAACGACATTCCTAGTGCTGCTCCTTCAAGGGGGTTTGTTCCTGCACCAACCTAACAATTGCAAACAAAGTACTATCCATCACACATATATGACATTACGTATTCGAACTTTTAATTAAACTAATAAAATACATGCCTCATCTAGTAGCACTAGTGACTGGCTTGTTGACAGTAATTTAATATTCTGCAAGATAAAGTTAAAAAGTGAAACAAGAATTTCTGTTATATTTTAAAAATAATGAAGGGAAATTATGTCACTCTGAACTGTAACCTGAAAATAAAATCAACATTTAAAATGTACAAATAAAACCAAACTGAAATTTTTGTAAATCACTCAATTTCATCATATCTCTATTATGCATCGAGGTATGAAATATATAGAAAGCAACAATAGAAATTGAATAACTGAATGAAGGAGTCTTCAGCATTTAAGTATTACACAATCAAAACATTATTCCTTACACTTATCTGTTTCAAGTGGCCAGAGAATGTGGACAAAGATTGTGATAAGGACTGCTCATCACCAATGTCAGCAAAAACAGAATCAAACCAAGGAATTTGTGCAGATTCAGAAGCAAGAACATAGAGACCTGCAACATTTATTCAGAGCATAAAAAATTCAAGTATTTAAACAGAGTAAACAGAAAAATTATTTGAAGCAAACATATGGCTTCACTAATCAATCCTACCAAGCTTATTGATGAATAATAATGGTGGATTAAGAAATGAAATGAAGATTCATTTGTCATGAATAAGTTGGTATGAAGAAGCGTGTTGGGTAAAATTAGATCACAGTTAAACAAAAAATATTGTCCAAGTTTGGAGAAGATGTAACAGGACAATTCATGTCCAGCACCCAATGGTAAATACCAAGAAGCTCTCAGTAATACAAGTTTAAAATAAATGAATTTTTACTTGACAAAATACAACAATGGTTTTATTTGTGTGCATGTAATAATGCTAAACATTGAGAGAAAAGAGGGGGACCCGGGGTGTAAAACAATGAAAACACCTGATTTTGCCATCATAGCTGCCAATCCTACAGTCTTCAAACATATGGTTTTACCGCCAGTATTAGGGCCAGTTATAACTATAACACGGGTTTTCTGACATACCAAAAAATCAACTGGTACTGGCTGGCCATTGTCCAGTGCGGCATCCTGATAACCAGAAGTGCTTTATCATGAATGATAATCAAAAGCAAGATAAGCAGTTGACAAGAAAAATCCAGCATTTGATACACAGCAAATTTTTTTATGTCTGAAAATCATAAATCCTGGAATCTCAATTCCTAGGAATCCTAAAAATCTGTTGGTTGGTTGTTTCTGGAAATGTTTATAAATGTTACTTGAGAATCAAATATTTTTACTACACTAAATAAGCAAATAAAGGCAATATGTCGTTTTTACCACATTAAAACTTTATTTTTATCTTTGGAAAGTTAGTTTTCCACCTCCCTAAATAACAAACCAAACGCAGGAAACTAACATTCCTCGACATCAGATTCTCGAAAAAGGAAAAATTTCCCGTGTAGCAAACATAAGATCATAAACTCAAATGTCTAGAAAAATAAATAAAATAAAGATATACAGCGTCTTCAATGAAAGAAGTAAGAACCCTAACCCAACTTCCTAATCCTCAAGTTATGGTTCTCCTAATCTCCTGTTTATGATCTATTCTTTTGTCTAGTTTTTTCCTGATGTTTTTCCATGGGAAGAAAATAAAAGGCAAAAGGAAGTAATTAATCATTACAAGCAACAATCTGGAGATCTTGTTCTTTAAGCATCTCTTCATTGAAAAGGGGGTATTACTGACAATCAACACAGAATCCTTTTTATCAAATATTCACAAGAACCCCAACCCAGGAATAGCAACCACTCGCCACTCCCCCATCCATCCCCCAAATACAGAGGAAAATAAGGGTTCAAATTAATAGTGAAGATAAGAGTAGTTTTGTGTTGTTCACAATAATGACATTTAATGTGCTTAGGAAACAGTTTTTTCATGTACCTCATGTTTAAATGCATTTAGTGTTGATAGGAGTTGCTTAATCCTAGAGAATAGTCTTCACTAACTCTATCAACAAGAATCTATATATATGAATGACATGCAGAACCTATGCACTGCATTCTTTTGAATTAGAGAGACATTTTATTCTCTAAAATATCTAGATTGTTTTCTCTTTATCTCCTCTTCCTCCCCCTTTAAATTCAACATGTATCATCTGTAACTAAACTGAAGTAGCAAGATTGACGACCTTTTTGGCCTTCCTCAAATTCTCCCTATGCCTCTGGAGCAATAAAGGATGATAAGCTTTTAGAAGATACAACTTCCATTCCCTTTTGCTGGGTAATGGTTCATAGGAATCTTCATTCCTTGGTAAGAAGGCTTCTGCAGTAGAAGAGCTACTCCTATCTGGCAGAAATATATGAGGACTTGACCCTCCAAATGTAAGACCGTAAGTAGCACGAGCATTAATCTGCATAATAGGGACCACATTAATGACTATTTTGCACAGTAATCAATATTATAAATATATACTGTTAACTGAGTCACCTACCAAAGCAACTAAGTAGGTTACCATAGGGGCACTAAATCCCAAGTTTACAGTTACACCAATACCATGGTTTGTGTCTTACATGGTAGAAAAAAATCATTTTAAGGGTAATTATATGTGTAGTCAATTCTGTTTTACCTCTTGGTGCTAGATGCAATAAAAAGTGGACCAGGTGCATAAATTTTGTTCAAATTCAATATAGATATTACCTGCCAAATATTGTAATATACTTGCTGAATTTAACCATGTTTACCAACTTAACTTATTTATTCAAGTGATTTAAAAAATGTAACCACTAACCAGGGAAAGGAAAACAGCAATCCAGAGCCTTCGTAGGAGACTCTTGCCTTTGACTTATATTGCCATGATTTAATGTAGTTGGGAATTTATTTAATTAACCAATGAAACCATTTTTCAATTTTACAGAGCTTCAGCTGGTTTTCTCTGTTGATTAAACTACAACTCTTAATAAAAAATTGTGAACGAGATTTTATTCACAAAAATGAAAATTGAAAAACAAACAAACTCTCAAGGAGGAGATGACCATTAAAAGGATAACCATTAAGCAAATCTCGCAAGTGAACAAGTACAGAGGGAAGAATGCAGATAGAGGAAAAAAGAAATGGTGATCCACTTCTCTTCAAAAACATTACAGGATATTTACCACATCTAGTTGAACCAAACTGTTCAATATCTTTTCTACATCATCAAGGTCCAGTTGCATCTGCATACAAATTATGACATCATAAGAGAAGAAAAGAAAAGAACATGACCAAAAGAATCTTTATCAGATTATGTTTATAACCTTCTTGGTTAATGTCAAAAGCACATCTGCTTCAGCTTTTGCCACCAAACTTTTTGCTCGCTGCAACTCATCATTTAAAGGAACAGCAGAAAGTGGCTCTATAGTACTTTCAACTCCTGATCCACTGCCAACAAATACTATCTTTAAGGAATGGAATTTTATGCCTACCTACTAGATTTATTGACAAACATGATTTCATGAACAAAGAATAACAAAGCTATATTAACAAATTCTAAGCACCTGGATAATAGTAGACCCTTGAAACTCGTCTTCTGTCCAGAATCTACTCTTACACACCACCTGCCATCGACGTTATTCACTTCCTGTTCAAATTATTACAAACTCAATAGAGAAAGAAACATGCAAGTGGAAAAGAAATACATTTAAAGTCTAGCAAATCTTACGAGGATTGATGTTTCACTCTTTTCACTCCTGATTATGCTCTCTATTAACTGTTGTACCTGAACATAGGAAACAAATCATCCTAAATAACGGAATGTATAGAATGAACTCTTTTAAATTAAAATAAGAACTTATATAGCATGTCTGACCAAATAGATGACCAGGGGAACAACCTACTGAGTCAAAATATAAGTCAGAGAAGATTTACTAATATAACATCTTACATACTTAGTGGATGAAAGAATCAATTGCAAAATATTAATTATAATAATAATAATTGTTGGAGATCCTACATTGACTAGTGATATGACCAAAATAAAGTATATAAGTGAGAACAATTCTCACCTTACAAGTCAGTTTTATAAAATTGAATTAGACCCACGATCCACTTTTATAAGAATAATAATAAATAAAACTTTGTATTACTCCTTCACACATTGAGGGAGGTTTTGGTGGGGTATGAAAATAGAGGACAAGCATGTGTAATTTCAAATAAATTCAAGTGACATGGTCGTGGGGATAATTATCAGTTTATCACAAACACAAAAAAAAAAAAAAAAAACAAAACAAAAACTGCTGATGGAAGTTAAAGAATATAGACAAGTCGTTACTTCAATAATTAAAAACCTAAGACAGACAAAATAAAACTGGGGTTTTGCCCAATCCTCAGGTAGATTGTTGTCAGCACATGCCACAACTTCTGTGACTGAATCCTAATCTCAAGAGATTCCTTTAGAATACTCATGAAAGGTGTGAATAATGTTAATGAGATAGCCAAGAATATAAATTTTCTATTTCTGTGTCAAACTTTCAAATGAAATTTACTAGATTGGTGTAAACTAAAGTAAAATAAACAGGAGTTACCTTTCTCTCAATCACTTGCACTTGTTGGCGTGACTGTTTAAGGGCTGGACTCTATAACGAAGAATGTAAGTTTATGTTATACATTTGTTTGTAAAAAGAGAACAAGAAACAACCGACAGTCAGCTGTATGGCACCATGTAAGACAAGATGCATCTCTGAATTATTCTCTCTCACTGAATGCTATGTACTGAAGAATGCTAAGAAAATTTAAGATACAACACATGACATCTCAAACCAAATAAAATGGGTAGCCGATCACTGTCACAATATGCAGAGATAGAAAAAATGAAACTTGAATGAGATATAAAACAAACCGCAGAGTCCTTAATAGATCCATCTTCATCAACAACTTGCTCTATTGCTTTAATTAAAGAACGATTGACAACTAATTCCATTATCTGCAAGCATGTTTGGGTGGGTAAAAATACCAGAAAAATAGTAACATTAATTATATGAAATGACACATTCAAAATCTTATTTCACCATTTACCACTTCTGTAAGAGGCATGAAACGACTATACCAATCTTTGTCTTCCTTAATTGCAGCCTTGAGATCACCCTGCAAGGTCTCAGAACACTGCAGAAGAGCCACAACAGCCCGTGCCTCGTAGCCACTCACTGGTATACTTCTCCGGGCATGTTGAATGGCATTTTTTACCTACAAAAACCTGGAATCAACAATTTGGAAGGAAAGAAAGCAGAAACATAAAAAACTGTCTTGTGATCAATTGTCTGATCATATTATTAATTATTATAAGAAGAACCAGTTTTTGCACACTGATTACTCACCAGCATAGCATCAAGGTGCCCCAAGTGCAATCTGAAAGAGCCATGCTTGCGCATTTCGACAGCAGCATTAGTTTCCTCAAGAAGTGCAAGACTTTCCTCAAAAGTTTGATTCAGATACCATAGCTGGTCCTGCGACATGAACACCCGACAACATAACATGAAATAAGACCATGTTTACATATCTAACAGTGAGTGGAATGCAATTGAATAATGGAGTAAAATACAATACAGTCATAATCTCATTATTTAGATATTTTAATAATAAATCTGAAAAAGGACTGGTTTTGGGCCTATTTGTTTTCCACCAGGAATAAATTTCTCACACGCGCACACATTGTTACTGAGGTTAGTTTAAACTCATTTCAAATGCATAATCAATTTTAACGAAATCAATTCTACCCAACTTTCAGTGTTTGATTTCACATTGAGTCATCCAAAATCATTTGAAATACCAGTTAACATGATTTTAGGTAAATGCTCACATGTTTATCCCACCTTTGAAGAAATCATTATGGATTTAGAACTGATTTCGAGTTAAAACAACTTTATATAGCTTATGCATTTGATTAAAAAAAACTTATACCGAGTTTTTCTATTAACTTACTTTTAGGATAAAAACACCCAAACATAAACAGCTTCACTCCAAAATCAAATTTTGCAAAATCAACTTCATTCTAAATCAATTTTGCGAATTCTCATCCAAATACACAAAAATTAAATGATCACTTGGTCTTAAACTCCAACCAATCAAATGGGACTCAATAAGATACATTCTATGACAATTCTATTCTATGTCATCTTATCTTACTTTAAACAATCTAATCAATCACAATATCATTTCATTCAATTTTATAAATTTCAATGGACCCAACCAAACATAGCGAGAAAAGGCAAAAAAAAAGGGACCTTGAGAGCTTGACGGCCCAAGGAAGTGGTGGCAAAGGAAGCGACCAAATCGCAAAGCTTGTCCCATTCGAGCACTCTGAGGCTGTCATGGCGAATGGAAGCATACACCCTTTGACTATGTCTGCGTCTCTGCTTCCATTTGTTAATGCTAATAACGGGGAAGACAGGTATGGTTATGGCGAAAGATAACATTTTTATGCCATGGGACTCTCTTCTAACAATTGGGTTCTAAAATTTGCAGAGTGTTTTTGCTGATATGAGGAGCAGAGGAAGCAACACCACAACAGTTGGAGCAGGATTACAATAGCAGTGGTTGGTTAACGTAACCAGCTTTGGGAATCAAATATAACACCCAAAAAAAACAGGATAGGATAATATTATTTATAAATAAATAAAAAACTAATCTATCATTTTTTTATAATTAGGATTTTTTGAGGAAAAAAAATGACAAAAGAGAGGAAAAGGTTTTAATTTCCTAATTTTGTTACTTTTGGATCAAGGAAAAAACAAATGAGAAGAAAGAAAAAGAGAATGATATTTAGGGAGAAAAAAAATATAATTTTTATGGATAATTACACAATAAGAATATGAATCTTAAATCTAGAGGTTAAAATTAATGGACCACAATAAATTATATAAAAAGGTTGATGATCTTTACTTCAGTCTCCACTGACAAGTTGACACACAGTTTCTTAAAGGGTTTGCTCTAATGCATTGCATGTGTCACCGTATTTCATTTCTTTTAGAAGTTTCCATTACCACTTAATTTTTCAGTTCAACTAGTGCTGTAGCTTCACTTCACATATACGTTCAAATCTTTGTTAAGTATAGTGTGTCTTGCACCTTGTTATAATGTGCTTGTTTGTTTCTTTCTTTAGATGGTGAAAATGAATGAGACGGAGAGAGAAATGGAGAAAAAGATTAGGAGAACTTTGAAGGAATGGTTCTCATCATCAAATGTTTTATGGAGCATGATACTAGTGCAAGTATTTGTTTCTGGGATGCAGCTACTATTAAAGGCCATATTGGTTAGTGGCTCTTTCATCTTTGCTCTTGTTTTATACAGCCATGTTGTTGCTGCCATTTGCATTCTCCCCTTTACACTTTGAAAGGTAAGTTTTTCATTCTATTTGTTTTTTTGTTTTATTTTAAAAGTTATTTAAAAATTATAGTTCATGAGCTTTAAAAATAAAAGAAATTATTTAACATTTTTTTTAATTTAACCACAAAAAATTATTATAGAGAAAAAGAAAGGGGTGAGAGGGGAGTGCCAAGAGAAGGACGGTGAAAGTAAGAAGAGAGGAAAGAGAGTCAAAGGAGAGAAAAAAATGGGAAGGAAAAAGGTTCTGGTATATTCTCTCTAGCACTTACATAGTCTCTCTATTTCTTTCTAACATTTTTTTCTTTTATTTCTTCCTCATCTTCATCTCTTCAAGTCTTCATTTTTTTTTTTTCCTTTACCTTCCACGATTTTGGTAATGAATTGTTAGAGAGGATTTGTGGGAGAAGGAGAGCAGAGAGGTTGGCGGGAGAAAGAGAGCATGAAAGAGGGGGATAGTGGAAAAAGAGAAGTTACAATTTTTTTTACATCAATAAAATTAGGTTCTTTTATTAAAATAATATTCTAGATACATAGAAGAGTTTTATTATAAATATTCTTAGAATTAAATTAAATAAAATTTCTAATTAAAAATGAGTTATTAAATTATTTTTTATTTTACTATGTTAAATAATAATAGAAGGAGGAAATATCATAATTTGTCTAATTTGATTGAGAATTATGTTATATTTAAAAATATTTTTTTTATTATTATGAATCTGATTTATAATTAATTTATAATCTAATTCAATAGTCACATTGACTGGAGAGTCAATTAAAAATATGTAATATAACATTTATTTTACCCCTTTATTGATATATTAACTTTGATAAGACAGTTATTACTTATATAAAAAAAACCTATTCATTCCTTAAACAATATCTAATTCCTATGATGCCTTCCTAAAACAAAGTGCATCACAATTGCACTTCAATTCATTTAATGGAGGAGAGAATCCACATATTTAAAGAGGTTTCATAATTAGCATAAGATTTTTAAGTTGTTTATCAACGTTCAATATCTTATTAACATTTAACCAATCTAAAAGAACGAGTTTTACTATTGCTTCCGCTTGCTCATGTTTTACATTTCACATTATTTTATTTTTTTCTCTATCAAATATTCCACATAATTATAATAAAAAATTGAAATTAATCCTTCGATAATAGTTCATTTAATTTTAAAAAATAATTTATTAAATGATTCCGATTTCAACAAAGCAGGGTCAATAGTTATTATCATAGATTAGTATACATCTTAAAAATAAAGATATAAGTAAAATCTAGCTTTAAATTATGCTGAAAACACATTCTAAAAACCTTAGCACTAAAAGTATAATCTTGTTAACTCCTTATTTTTCTCCCACACTTACACTGATACACTACAGACACCACATTTCAACTAGCCACACACACCAAATTCAATTACCTTTGGCAATGGTTTCCAATGGAGATCAAAAACAATCAAGCACCCAAAACCCTCATTCGTTTTGAGGCACAACTCACCACTATCTCAACTCAACCACACAGCCTCCAACAACTCCCTCACCGCCCTCTACACCACCTTCTCCATATCCTCCATCCTCGGACCCCACCTAATTACACTCCTCCTTGGATGCTCCACCTATGTTCTCTACACTTCCTCCTTCCTCTTCTACAACCACCACCACCACCAGGCCTCCTGTGGGCTGCACAAGGCCCAATCATCACGTCCTACTCTCCAACCATCGTCGAAGGCACTTACATATATATTTTCTGGACCATCTTCAATATGGGAGGTGTTGTTACATAATATTAGTTAGTTGAAAACTTGTTAGTAAGTAAGTTGTTAGGAGTACTCATTTCATTTTTAGTTAATCATTTCTCTAATAAACTCTATAATTAGCTCTCAATCTCCCAATATCTTTTATTCCATCAAAAACAAAACTTAGTTAAGCATTTGGAGTTTTCTATCAGTAATAGAATTGAGATTTGCATAAATCTATATTACTATTCTCTAGATCAAACCTAATTCTATGGAGAAAGTACTATTGTTAAGCTGGGATAACTTGTTTCTCATCTTCTCAATTTTCTGATAGGTGTCATTGGTGGCTTGATCCCCTTCAACTTGAACTACCATCGCACTGAGGCTGCTTCTGTGAACGATGGAAACAACGTAGCCTTCATGTGCTTCATGTCACTAGGGACACTCTTATCTTTGGCCATCTTGCCTGCTTGCAAGGTTGCACGTGACGATGGTAGCAGGTGCACCAGCATGCTGTACTCGAACGTTTCCACCGAGTGTGTGGAAGTTCTCAAGCTGTTTTTCAATTGGAATGTGCTTCTTTTGGTTCCTGCTGCTTGGAGCAGTAACTTTGTTTACCCTTACCAGTTCAATGATGTGAATGGGGTGTTGTTTAACTTGAGGACTAGAGGGTTGAACAGTGCGTGCTACTGGGGCTCAGATGGTGGGGTCGGTTGGGATCGGATATGTCATGGATTTCAGCTTTGAGAGAGGAGAAGGGTGTGAGGGGATTGGTGGGGGTTGTGGTAGTTGCAGTTCTTGGGTCTGTGATTTGGGGTAGTGCGCTTGCTAATCAGCTGAAAAGTTGGATTTTTAAGCACTCAGGGTCTCACTTTTCTTGTCTTGTACTTTAGTTTTGGGGTGCTAGATGCCATGTTCCAGAGCTCGGTTATTGGGTTATTGGAGCCCTGGCTGATGATTCTGAGATTCTTACCAGGTAATAAATATTCATAGTGTCTATAAGTACAAGATTAATAACATGGTTTTTGAAGTATTCACCGACTAATTAGTAACCTCTGCTGAAAAATCTGGTTGATTAGCTTTTATGAAACTCAATGGTGTGATAACTTATTTAAGGAGACTGAGTCCAATTATATCACTAAGTAAATATGCAACACATGTGATTACCTCTTAGTTGCTTAATCGATTATTTCTTGTATGTGCTTTATATATATATTTTGTAGCATTTGGTGGATGAGAAGAGGTAATTAATTAGTTATGTTGTTTATTGTGGTTGGAAAATTGGAAAGCATGCAACTAATTTTACAGGTACAGTGCAGGGGCTGCAGTTGCTTGGCAAGTTGATGAACACAAGGTGTCTTTCATGTCGCAGTTGATTGTGAATTGGGTGCTCGCAACAATAAGTTATCCATTACTGTTTGTTTTGGTGATGTCTGTGAAAGATGCATGAAGGACAATAAGAGGTTGGATTGAGTTTTCTTCATCAGCAACTGAATATCTATCTTGTGAGAGAAATTCAATAGAAAGTTGAGTGATATATGTGATAATACAAGAGAAAGAAAAAATGTAAAGTGTCAAACTAGGTATTTGTATTGTTGAAATCTATCTATAGTATATCAATTTGAGGACTATTAAATGACAAATTTGGACAAGTTTCAAGCTTTTGAACTTTGGATAAATAATGTTTTCTACACCACCCATTTATTACTATGCCAATTTTGAAAAGTTCATTTTTTCATTGTATAGTATAGTGCATTTCTGTTTTATAATCTTCTTATACCACATTTTCCTTTTTATATCCCTGTTTTTATACACATTTTACTTATTAAAATTATTTTATTATAGAATTATATAAAACAATTAGAAGGAGCATTTTTAAAATGTTTTTTTTATAATTAATTTAAATAATTCAGCCTTTTTACTATTATTGATTCATAATAAAGCATTTCTCTCATTTTTTATTTTAAATTTTATAGTCTATCAAATATATTATCATACAATCTGTGCAATCCACAATCAATTGCAATATAATTAAAAAATTTATTATATATAATTAAAATTTAAGATAAATATTTTATATCAGTAATTTTTAAAAATATTATTAAAACTTAATTTAAAATAAGAGATAAAAATTATAAAAATATATTCAATAAAAATAACTAAAAACGTTTTTTTTTAAATTACTCTCTAAAAATAAAACTATTCAGTGTAGAATTATTCTACTTTATAAAATCCTAATATATTTTTTTTGAATTTTTTTATATTTAAAACATGTTAAAAAATAATATATACTCTGTATATCAGTGTATGACAAGTCACACTGGTTTATATATCTTCTTCCCCTACCAACTTTTAACTACCACCCACATGACATTTTTCTTTTCCCTAAATAATTCTGATATTTTATTACAAGTTTTCCTTATCCTCTAAATCTAATACACAACACGAACAAAAAAGAAAAGTTTCACATCAACACAATTTCTCGAAATTATTACTTTTCGTTGACAGAAAAAGCAATTATAAATTATTATTATTATTATTACTAGTGGGGCCGAGGCATTTCGTGCCTCTATATATATTATCTTAAAATTTAAAATAACTCATATATGGAATGAATTCATTTGTTGGCATATAATTATATAAATAATTTTACACAATATGATGTTTTACTATCATAAAATTTTCTTAATAGGAATACCAAATAAAGATTCCACTTCATGACGATTTTTATGTTCCTTGCAATTTATGATAGAAATTAAATGTCATTCTGCTATTACTTTTAGTTAACATTAACATAACTAAAACATATATCAGAATTAATAAATAATTAAATTGAATAATGTCATACTTTTCAATAATAAATTTCAATTCTTTATATAATACATCATCCATAATTTCTTTGACTTTAAAAAGCTACAAAAATAAATAATACAATGTCATGTATCAATATGAGATATTTAAAATTTCATGTAATTTATTTTATTTTATGAAAGAAATAACCATAACCTAAAAAATAGAGATATTTTATTTTGCATGAAAGTTGTCAATATAATAGGTATTACTCAATCTTGCATTTTCAAGTGTCTTAATATTGAGAAAAATATGAGTTAGAATTGATTTAAATGAAGAAATGTTAAAATTATATTTTTATATATATTAAATTGACACATAAAAAATATTTTCACAACCATATTATTATATTACCTTTCTAATTTTTTAGATAACAATTATTTTTTCACCATTTTCCAAATTTTAGTTAATACAACAGAGTTAAACACTACAAAATAAATATGTGATATTAAAAACATAACTTTTGAAACTAACATAATTTCATGGAAAAAAATGATTAAAGTTGAGAAACATATTTAATTTAGTAAACTCAATTTTATTGAAAAAAATAGAATAAATTTAAGATACACATTTAAGTTCAATCAAACATAGTGATATATTATTTGGGTAACATAAATCAAATTTTATGTTTCATGGTTGAATTGTAACATTTTTTAATATATAATATCTACTAAAATTATATTAGATATTTATAAATATATTTAAGTTTTTAAATATATTAAAATAATAAGTTTTCAAATAAAATTTTATAATATTAAATCTATAACTTAGAAAATAAAAATCAAAATAAGAAACAAACATATTTTAAATATGGACATTTAAAAAATTGATTAAACATAAAATGAAAGAAAAATACATTTAAATTTACTATTGACTAAACTTGAAATGAATTCAATGCAAAGGATGTCCTCCAAATATAGTTAAATTTATTTATGTCTTTGTAAATTTTAATACTTTTAAATCGAATAACTTGTAGACATGTTACATGTCATTTTTGTGTAACTAATAGCATTGATGCGATGTCATCATTGAGAAAAGAAAAACAAAATTACACTCCTTTTTTGTTTGATGGACTTATGAGTCTTAAGTCATTTCTTCATCCTCATGTAAGTCATGATCATCAAGGGTGTACTAATCATCATAACCACAATCATGCTTCTTAATGGTGTCTTTATTGGGGTCAGAGTATTATTCTTCTACACCATGTGTCACTATATCCAACATTAAAGAAGATGACTTAAAATATAATACAACTTGCTTGCAAATGTGATTCATACCAGGATAGAGTGGGGATGAGTTTGGAATAAAGCGAAAGTTGAGAATTGATTGGGATGAGAAAAATGTAGAGAGGGAGAATGGAAAAAAATTGTACAAAGTAGGTAGAGAAAATTTCTAAGAGCGAGAAGATAAAAATGGATAAAATTATAGAAATATTGTGTAGTTATTATTTTAAAAGAAAGTAATCATCAATAAGGGTAAAATCTTAAGTTATATAAGTTATAGATAGAAGTTATAAGAGAATACTAACCTAGAAACTATGAATGGGAAAGCATAAGATCAAAGGTACTAATGGCCTTCATCGATCAAAACACAATATGAAAGACATTCATGTATATCATTGGCAATGAGTCATGGAACCAGGATTCAAGCGGGTAAGTCAATTTCAACGTGTTTTGACTTTTTTTAGGACAAAAAATATGTTTTTTTTCTTGCTTGAAAGTATAGGGAGTGATGTTGTAGAAGAATCATGTGCAACCCAGTTAGATACGATAATTGTGTGATTTGGTGATAGCGTTGAATGAAAATTTTGGTGAGAGAAAAAAAACATTATCTTACAAAACGTTGGATTGGGACTTATAATAGAGTGATAATGGATTTGGTTTATAATTTTTTTGAAAATAACATACTTAACGATGACTATTTGTGTGGTTATTATTTTGAAAGAAAGTAACCACCTTACGGTTATTATTTTGAAAGAAAGTAACCATCAACATCAATAATAATAAGGGGTAAAATTGGATAAAAGAAAGTGGAGACCAAATATTTATAAGTTTTAAAATATTATTTTTTGTAATTTTAAAACTATTAAAAATTAAATAAAATTCAAAATTCAAAATTATGCAAATTTTAAATTCAAATTTTTAATAAAATATGATTATATATTTAAAATTTTAAATCTATCAAGATAATAAGTTTAAAAATGAATTTTTATAATTTAAAAGGAAAAAAATGAATTTGGAAAATAGAGATATCTTAAATTTGAATTTTTAAAAAGTTGAATAAATTTAAATTTACTGTAAAAATAATGCAAAAAATCATGGTAAAAAATGACTAAATTTACATAATTTAATGTAGAATTTTTTTAATGAGCGTGAGAAAATAGAATTGAGAAAAGAGAATCGACCTGAAAAAACATGGCTGAGGAATCTGAGCGAAAGAGAGAAAGTCTCAATCCTTAGACGCAATTGTGAAACTGCCAATCCTTGAAATCCTTCCCATGTTGTTATCCCATCTATTCGTACTCATTCTACGTCAAAACCAACGAACAATGATGGTCGTAATGTATACAATTGGTGAAATGTTTATTGTGGGCAATTTAAGTGGATTGAAAAATGAAAAAAAAAGTAGAAAGGTTTGAAGGAAAAACAAAGAGACAAAGACGATAATAGGATATGATAAAGAGAATAAAAAGAAGAAGAAAAGTGTGAGGGGTTTGTTGCGAGAAGAAAATAATGAAATGAAGTGCCATGAAAAAGGATGTACCATGAAATGGAGGATATATTATGCAGGGATACGAAGTCACTTTAACAAAAAAAAGAGGAAGCAAGAAAGAGAGGAATGTGAAAGTACGAACAATAAGTGCAATTACTTAAATAATATGTGGTTAAAAGAAATAAAAGTGAGTAGTTACTTAAATAAAATGACATAATTACTTATATTAATTATTTAATATGTAATATTATTAAGGATAAAAAAGTTATAGTAAAAGTAGAGACCAAATGGTAGTTACAAACGTTTGTATCCCCTTTATATAATGTTATAGATGTGTAAATTTATTTTTCCGTTGTTAAAAAAAGTAAACGAAAGTTGGAGACCCATTCTCCAACGACTACAACAAATATTCTTTCTTCCTTCTCTGTTTCCTCGCTAACAAGGAAAACAAAATCCCCAATTTCCCTCAATTAGGGTTCAATCCAACCTCAATTCTCAAACCCTCCGATCCCCAATCTTCCCAAATCTCAAAACTTTTCCCTGCTGGGTCCTCGATTCCGCCGCGGCGAGCCTCCGTAGCTCGCGATCTCCGAAACCGACCATGGCCAAATTCTCACCTCGATTCCTCGTCGTCGCGGCGCTATGTGTGATCCTCCCCGTCGTGGCGGCGGATCTCGAAGACCGCGGCGTGCTGCGGCTGCCCTCGGAGGGCCTGTGCGGCAAAACGACGGCGTCGTCGTGCCCGGCGAAGTGCTTCCGCGCGGACCCCGTTTGCGGCGCCGACGGCGTGACGTACTGGTGCGGTTGCGCGGAGGCGGCGTGCGCCGGTGTGGAGGTTGCGAAATTAGGGTTCTGCGAAGTGGGGAATGGGGGGTCCGCACCGATTCCGGGGCAAGCTTTGCTTTTGGTGCACATTGTTTGGCTCATTGTGTTGGGCTTCTCCGTATTGTTCGGTCTTTTCTAGATTTTGGGGTTTCTGTAGCTATGATGATCAGAGGGTGTTATTGATTGTTTTGGTTCTTTTCAATTCTTTGAGGTTTTTTCTTCTGTAAATTGATCACACGGCCATTCATTATTGGATTGTATCATTGTATGTATGAATATTGTTATTGTTGTTATTTATGTAATGTAATTCCACTACCTTCTTCATTGATGATTGTGTTCTTGTTCTGTAGCTATGATGATCAGAGGGTGTTATTGATTGTTTTGGTTCTTTTCAATTCTTTGAGGTTTTTTCTTCTGTAAATTGATCACACGGCCATTCATTATTGGATTGTATCATTGTATGTATGAATATTGTTATTGTTGTTATTTATGTAATGTAATTCCACTACCTTCTTCATTGATGATTGTGTTCTTGTGGTTTATTTTATGAATTTAGTTACTTTCCTTTTATGGTTGTTATATAATTGAAAATTGTTGGAGTTTATAATAAATAATCACTTTTAAAATATATATTTAAGATGTTTCGTAATTCGATGTTCGTATTATTGACTTTGTTGAAGGATAATCTTAGGATGCATCATGTTATTCATTGTACAAAGAGTTGTTAAAATGGAAATGGGTTCACCTCTCAGTCACAAGGTCATGCATTCATGAACTGAAGTCGGAGCTAGATGAAGATTTGACGGTTCACATTCTGGATATATGTTTTAAATAATAATTGTTGTGATAAAATGAGTCGTCCAATTTTTATTGAAGGTTCTAATTAAGTTTCTAAATTGCAGTTTCTTCACAATCTTTGGCATTGTGTAAGATTGTGATTCTGTACTCGCAATTGCAATGTAGTTGCAGTCAACCGTGGTTGTAGTCTCTCTTCCTTGGTTGCTGTGACTAATCAACTATTAAGATCTTGCAAGAATTTGGCAGGACTAAAACTCAGCCAAGAATGTATGTACCCGTTAAGTTAGGGTTCATTGATGCATGTTATATGTATCCTTTGAATCCGAACAAATTATGTGTCCTTTTAATCGGATGCCAGTTGAAAGAACAAAAAAAATATTGGGTAAAAGAAGGTGATGACGATAGTGTGAAGGCTCAAGGAATGTGTGTATATTTAAAATTCGTAGTGTAGAAAGTTCCCTTGACACAATTTTTTTTTATTTGTTTTGGATGGGGTTGACATGATGTTGGGAATGGAATGGTTAAAAGAATTGGAAGAAATCAAGGCTAATTTTGATAAATTAACCTTGAATATCTCGGGTGGAGAGGTTTATCAAATTATGGGAGATTCTTCCTTGAGTATATTAGAAACCTCATTAAAAGGTACACTCACACTTGAGGGTGGAAGAGGAGATTTATTAGGTGGAGTGTTGTTTGGCTGTAGTAAAATCAAAGGAAGGCATAAGAACAACTCTAGATTACATAAGACAGATTTTGGAAGAGTTTGAGTCTATTTTTTAAGAAACCAAGGGGTTACCTTCACCAAGGAGGTTAGACCAAGCTATCATCTTACACGAGAGAGTTGAGATTCTTAATCTAAGGCCTTACAAGTATCCTTACTATCAAAAGAATGAGACTGAAAAATTGGTGCAAGATATGTTGAGAGTTAGAATAATTAGGTATAGAGTTAGTCTCTATGCTAGTTCTATTATTTTAGTTAAAAAGAAAGACTGGAGATGGAGGTTTTGTGTGGATTACATGACTTTGAATAAGGTAACTATTCCAAATAAATTCCCAATCTTAGTCATCAATGAGCTCTTGGATGAACTAGCTACGACCATCATTTTTTCTAAGTTGAACATGAAATCAAGTTACCACCATATTCAAATGAAGGAGGAAGATGTTTAAGAGACAACTTTTAAAATGCATGAAGGTCACTATGAATATTTGATAATGTCATTTGGCCTTACTAATGCTCCTTCAACATTTTCAAGGCTTGATGAATGAAGTGTTGAAGTCGTATTTGAAAAAGTTTATCTTGGTATTTTGTAATGATATTTTGGTGTATAGTAGGAGTTTAAAAGGATCATCAACACCACCTAAGATTGGTGCTGACTTTGTTGTAGAAAAATTCATTAGTGGCCAACAAGAAGTGTGAATTTGCTAAATCACACATGGAATATTTGGGCCATGTTATTTCTTCCTATGAGGGTAATAGTAGACTTTACCAAGGTGGAAGCCATGCTTAATTGGTCCTACCCCACAAATTTCAAAGGTTTGAAGGTTTTTTTTTATAAGATTGACTAGATACTATAGGTAGTTTGTGCAAGGATATGAGGTAATGTCTAGATATCCTTGACTAAATTGTTAAAGAAGGAAGCATTTTTTATAGAATGAGGAAACTACCAAATTTTTTGATGCATTGAAAAAGGTCATGGAAGCATTGCCAACATTACCATATTTCTCCAAGCAATTTGTGGTAGAATCTGGTGCTTGCAACAAGGGAATAAGGGTAGTGTTATTATAGGAGGGCACCATTAACTTTCATTAACTTTCATGAGCAAATACTAATTCCATTTTTCCATACAAAATTTATGATTTTCATGATAATTTGAACTTTCATCAATGGTAGCAATGAATTAACCTCACAAGAGGAATAATCTTTTGATTCTGCCTTTGTTAGGGCTAATAGGAGTAAGCGAGTCAGGTTGAATTAGGTTTGTATGAAAATGTTACCTGATCTAATCAAAATTCAACCGGTTAGGTTGAATTAAATTTATGCATTATTTTTTAAATCTAACCCAACCCAATCACAAACAAGTTGAATTAAATTGGGTTAATGAGATTAACAAAATTAAATTATTTATTTTTTGTAAGAATTTAAATATATCATAATAGATATAAATCATTTGATATCTTATTAAAAATATAATGTTATCAACCCCATAAAGTAAATATTGTACAAACTAAATTTTTTTAAAAATTGTTAATTTTCTATATTATTATTAACTCAAATAACCAACATAATACAAAATGAAACTTAAAATAAATATGTTACATTATTACAATGTTATTAACTCAAAACATAAAATCTTAACCAAAAGAAAAAGAGTGTTGTCCCGAACAATTGACCATCAAAATACTAACTTATTATTATTTTTACTATTATTATTTTTATTTTATTATTATATAAGATTGAGTTGGATCAAGTCAAAAGTAAACAAAAAATACAAAAGCTATCACTTATCCCATACATTATTAGGTTTTGATCAAATCAAATTAGATATGACTTGAATATTAAAATTTTTTAATTAAAACTCACTAATTCGATCTTGATTAGTTTAGGTTCAAGTTACCATTATCTGATTACACCCTAAGCGGAGTGGTTTTACTTTCGAAATATGACAGTCTCTGCAAATGGTTTCACATTGACAAATGCTCATTGTCGTACCTTCTACTCAAGTATTTCACATTCATTTTTCCTGACAAAATTAGTACTACTCAACCAATTAGCTCTGACCAATTAGACTTGTATTCCTTAATGCAACTACGTGTTCACAATTTTCCTTAACTACCACGTGTCCTGTGTTGGTAACTTGGCCCAAAATGCCATCCACTTTCAGACAAGCCTCACTCTAATGTTGTCCTTTTTCTGAACTTGAAAATCTTTGCCACTATGTGCTCCGCATGCCATGATAGCATCGTTGAAGTCTTCCCTCGAAGCAAACAAGGTAAAAGTACCTAATTCCCATTTATAGTCGTTTTGATACGTAAAACTCTCACAGTATTTAAGAATTAAGAGTATGTAAATATTATCCTTCTCGATTTATTGAGACGTCTTAAAAATAAAACTGTAATGGTCATAAAAAACAAAACAAAAAATATCTCATGTTATGAATCAACAAATTAGTAGACTTTATGGTGGGAACATGGGCCTAGAAGGAAGGCATGTCTCAATTTCAGAGTTGAGATTAATGATTATTTATTGAATTATCTTTTCAAAAATAAAATTGTGATGGCTTATCAAATTTCAAAATAAATAATATGCAACAATCCTTATGATTCCAGTAAACTTTCGATCGAAATAATAATCCCTTTTGGCATCTGGAACAGCCAGCTGCACTTTTTCCCTGCTAGGTTAGACGTGACTCTGGACCAAATATAATTTCATGCACAAACCAGAAGCAGAATTAATCGGAGTAATAGCCTTGGGGCTGAAAAAAATTGGGGAGAGAGGGGCAAAAATAAAAGAAAATGCAGAGAGAAGGGTATAAATGAGCTTTGATTCATGGAATTCAACATTTCTTAAATAATAATAAGATTGACTCTACTTTCTCATTTTGCCATTATCAACGATCTTTCACTTGCCATATAACAAGAGGACTCTAAATCGAGTCACAAATACTCGTACATCGAGGCTGTGATGCTAAAGCATACTGAAAATGAATCCCCAAGGCTAATACAATACAATATTTATCTACCTGTTCACAGACACAGCACATTAAGCACTTGCAGCATTTGGAAAATCAATTCATTGCTGCAGGCCTAAGAATGGTCCCTTTGACATTTATTCATACACCTCCCACATAATATTCAGAAACATCAGGGCTCCACTTAAAAAGTGCAAGAATAAGCATTGCAAAGTCCTGTGTTGGCACTATTATAGGGGAACAAGGCAACAGGGCGAGTTCTTGGCAACTCAGGAATAGGCTTATCCATGTTGAGAAGAAACTCCACCACTTCCTCCATTGAGGGCCTTCCTTTGTTCTCATTTAGAGTGCAAAGTAATCCAATTTCAAGAACACGAATTGCCTGATCCAAGTTGATCAATGACCCCATTCTTCTGTCCACCAGCTTCACTTTCTCATCAATTTGATGCAAGTTCCAAGCATAATCCAATAGGTTCCTCTCTTCTGGATTTCCCTCCTCTTTCTCCTCCCTCATTCTTCCAGCTATCACTTCCAACACAAGGACACCAAATTCAAACACATCTGCACCATGGCACACTGCAGACTCAAACTGTTTTGATTCTGCGCCCAACAGCACAAACCCAAAATCACCCAAAACAGCTCTGAAGTTGACATCTAGGAACACACTGCTGCATTTCAAGTTCTTGTGAGCTAGTTGCTTAGTGTGGAGGAAGCTCAAGCCATCGGCAACATCTTTAATAACCTTGAACCGTCGAGTCCACGGAAGAACACCAGCCCCAAATAGCCATTTGTCAAGGCTTCCATTGGGGACAAAGTCATAGACCACCATGATTTCATTGTTGTCTTGACACCAGCCTCTGACGGGAAGCAAATTCGGGTGGCGAAGATGGCTAATGCCTTTGATTTCCTTCAACAAACGCCTCTTGTCTGATCCATGTGTGCTGAGAAACTGAGCTGAGAATCTCTTCACAGCCACCTGGCTGCCATTGGAAAGCTTCCCTCTGTAGTACTCGCCTCTAGAGTCACTTCCAAGCAAC